CATGGCAACAGCCTACACTACACAACAATACATGAAAGACTTGGAAAAACACCTTAAAAACACTTTTGCTTTCGCTCAGAAAAACCTGGAAAAATCAGCTGAAGGACGCAAAGCGTACTACGAACAAAAGGCCTCTCACGAGGAACTCCAAGTGGGAGACAGGGTCTGGTACTACACGTTTGCCCCCACAACTGGGAGAAGAGAGTCCGGGACCGGAACTCTTGCCCGTAAACTGATGCCCAGATGGACTGGACCCCATCTGATAACAGACAAACTGTCTCCAGTTGTCTCCAGTTGTCTATCAGATAAAAATCAGTAAAGGCCAAAAAGAGCCAATTGTTAAATGGGTACATCGAAACAGGTTAAACTACACAAGGTGCAAAGAAACCACTCAAACGGGACAGTGTGATTGAATCTGACAACCAAGGTGAGGTGAAGCAGTGAAACGATGTTTCTAGTTGCATAGTCACTACTCTTGTCGATGTTGAAACGTTGTTTAATTGGTTTTGGTATTGTTTCTGAGGTAAGAATGAGTTTTGTATGTATTTTAGTTGGAGACTGTAAAGGACTTTAACTATGCCAACATGCAGTTCACTCGTTAAAACCTAATCTTTGCGGAGTCAATGTAGATTAATGCTACCTTAAGTACCATAATCTACATTGGTCTCACAACGCTTAAGCCGAACCTACTCGAACAATTCTATTCGGGGGGATAGCTAATTCTTTTTGATGAGTCTCGCCATAGACTCCAAAAACATTTATGGAGAAACCAAACACCCAATCTCAAGTCGTTCGTCTAAAAGGCAACAGACAAGTAAACCAACTATAGAGGCCATGTAAGTCTAACATAGACAAAGTTAGAGATGATGGTATAGTTGGAACACCCTTATATAGGTATAGACCCCTATAACTACCCTTTTCAGCATGTTCCACCCCTTAACTGGTAGCTGTAGCTGTTCCCAATCATAATAGCTTACACACCAGGTGCATATAGGTTAAGGCCTTATGTAAAATCCCCTTCATAAGCCCACCTTAAACCACATAATTGCATGACACATAGAACCAGAACGGCACCGACTGGACGTCACCCAGCGACGACCTTCGCTGGAGGAGACCTACAATCCTGACGTTGGTCTCCAACCTGCATCCAGTGGCCATCTTCAGTTCAATCGAAAGGAATCTTCTACATGCTGATCAATCAACACCTCCAATCGTTGTGGATTAACCGTTGTGGATTATATGACTTTTTCCAATGAATTACAGATTTTGTTTCCAAGGGGTTAAAGCATTGCTACAATGGATTTACCAACAACATTATGGAGTTACCAACAACATTATGGAATAACCAACAACATTATGGAATTGCCTAAACCGTTGTGGGATTACCTTCTTTGACTTTTGTTTTCCTCTTGCTGGATTACATCAAGCTCAAGGACATTCCGAGGCATAAGTTCATGTTAGAATTCATCCCCATGGACAGGCGATGATTTCCAAAGGGGGGACTGTAGTGAAGTAAGCCTCAGGTCAAAACCTGACCCTGAGGACCTTCATGGGACAGAAACTGTTATTTCATTGATTTGAATCCAGAAATACAAATTAAGCTCATCCAGAGACTTTCTAAGTGTGTCCTGCACTAATCAATTGAAAGAACACTCTCTTTTTATATTATCATTACTATTTTACAATATCTTGATAATCAAAGTGTGTTTAGTTCAAACCATTTTAAATGTTGAAGTGAACTACTCATTTTAAATCAACTGTGAAACAGTATTAATGATTTTTTAATCCTCATTCAAAGTAGAAATCAAGTTAATGTCTGTTACAAAGTAATTATGCATTTTTTGATCTTCTGTCTGAAATGAGAAGGAGTGATGTCGGTCAAAAGTCGGAGACAGTCAAAAACAAGTTTATTGGAACGAACTGTCATGTTTTTAAACTATCAGACAGAAATAAGAAACTGCTGGCACCTGTGGTCTGTCATCTCGCCTAAACATTTCTCTGTCTGTTCCAAAAACATCTCACTGTTTTTCTGACTTGTAGTAACCTCTTACATCACTAAAACCACACCCCTGTTGGTTCTTTCAACCAATCAGGACTTCTCAAATGAACCGGAAACAGAACTCTTTAAATGTCGACACTTCCTAGTTCCAGGCAGTTCTGAGGGCAGAACCGAACAGAAAAAGTTCTGAGACATGAACCGTAGTTCTGGGAGATGATCCAGAGTTCGGAGTTCTACACTTGAACCAAAGTTCTGGTACTGATGAAGTTCGGCTGGAGTTCCTGTAGGAGCCACGATGCCTCGCTGTGACTCCACCTGGTGAAAACTTCATAACTTCTGAGGAGGTTTGTTCTGTGGAACTAGTTCTCACGACTTCTGCCGAGTCGCAGCCGCCCTGAGGAGACGCTGAAAAGTAGCGTAACAAGGACCTCTTGACCGCCGCGGATTCATCCTCCGCCAAAGGTAAAGAGTCGTTGAGCTTCACTACCAGTGTACCGCGGGCGAACTGCGCTTCAAAGGAGCGTGTTGTTCTGGTCTACCGACATACATTCTCATCCATCTTTTTCCTCTCCATTTAAACTCCTTCATTTCCCATCTTTAAAACTCTTCTATCTTGCCAGTAATTAATCCAGATATTTTCAGAAATGTCTGTTGTATTTCAGTTGCAAGTGAGAAATCATGGCCGTATGATTTCTCATTGTAAAGCTCATTAATTAAGTTGTGTTATTGCGTTCAATCAGAATAATCAAGTGTACAATGTTGATGTTAAATTTTGATTCTGTTAATAAATGACCACATTCATTTTGATGGGTCAAAGAAAATTAACGTCTCATGTCACTGGTTTTTAGACCATCTCCCACACAGTATCTCTGTCACATATCTGTCAAGTAGCTCGAAAAAGAGAGAACCCGTCGTTAAATATTGATTGTAGTGAAGCTAACTGAAACTAACCGACCCTATTTCACTACATTTCTGGTGGCCCGGTACAGGTCTCTAAAGAGCTTCTGATGGCCCGACGTGGTCTCTGAAGACTTTCTCGTGGCCCGGTACAGGTCTCTAAAGAGCTTCTCGTGACCCTATCCGACTTTAGACATTTCGTGGCCGTACGAATGTTTAAAGAGGTGTGAATTAAATGTGACGGAGTCTGTGTTATTGAACGCTCATGTTGGCATGGTTGAACAGGTCCGGCTTTGAGCTTGATACTGCATGATTCGGCTTGTGGTGTTTTTAGAGCTGACAGTAAAGTCAATGTGTTCATCTTAAAGCTGAAATTTGTACATCTGTTGTGTAACTGAAACTGGGTTTGTGGTAAAACGCTTTATTCTGTTAAACTGTGGCAGAGAGGAACGGGTTCTGTCTGACCCGTTTCGGCTGTCGGACTCGGTTCAGATTCTTTGAACGAGTCGTGTTTGAATGGATAAAATGCTGTTTTGGAGCTGAGCTCCGTCTCAGGCCACTGTTAAAATTGCTTCATTACATCTGTAGCAGTAAAAATCGTACATTTTTGAAGGTTAATGGACGAAAGTTGACCGGACTTCTTCAGGCTAATGCTAACATGATAGCTAGAATAACGAGCAGTGATTGGTCGAAAACCGCTGTTTGGGTCGCTCTGATTCACTGAGAAGTGGGTAACGTGTCTGCGTTCACTCCCTCTGATGTCAGATTGTAAAACCCACCCGGTTGCTCACTGGTTGA